TCAGATGAATTTCTTGATGAACATTATTAGGACAAGATTTTAAAGATCAATTTCTCATGTGATTTGACTTGTAATATCACCATTCGATGGCAGACATTGTTCTCTGTCGATCTACGTAAGGCTGACTTTCCTATCTTGTTCCGTTCAGGAGATATAAGGGTTTTCCCGAAACCCCCGTTTTTGGCTACCTGTCCTCTGATCGCTACAAAATATATCTAGGGAGGGGTAATCGGCCATGCTGAGTCGAGTGGTGATATTTGTTTTTCGTTTCAAAGCGACCCAACACTTCTATAGTGAGTTTTTTTAAATCTGATATTTTCTCACTATAGGACCAAGATAGTCAATATTCTGAAAACTCGTTATAGAAGTGTTGGATCGCTTTGAAACGAAAAACAAATATCACCACTCGACTCAGCATGACCGATTACCCCTCCCTAAATATATTTTGCAGCGATCAGAGGACAGGTGGCCAAAAACGGGGGGTTTCGGGAAAACCCTTATATCTCCTGAACGGAACAAGATAGAAAAGTCGGCCTTACGTAGATCGACAGAGAACAATTTTTGCTATCGAGTGGTGATATTACAAGTCAAAATCACATGAGAAATTGATCTTTAAAATCTTGTCCTAATAATGTCCATCAAGAAATTCATCTGATTGGTCGATATATTGACCAATGAAAATCGCATGTCTCGATGTCCCTCTCTATTCTCTGTCGAACGGTGAAAACCCCAGGTCTCTATCTTGTTCTTATCGGAAGTTTTTACAAAAATACCCACGGCCATCTTTTTATTGGACAGACATTAGTTCTCATGTTAATTTAGGAAATACAACGAGAAGTTACCTTCATTGTTAACTAAGTTGGTCATTTAGCTGAAATAGAAAATTAAAAAAATAGTTATCTTTGTAATCGAATTAATTCCAAGAGAACTTACCTTCACCGTTACTTGATATGGTCACTTGTCTGAAATACAAAACAAAGAATTCTTTATCTTTTCAATTAATTCAATAAAAAGAGAACTTACCGTGGCAGTTATAGTAGCGGACAAAAGTCTCCATCCACCTATATCTTAACTACCATAGAAACTGAAGGTCGGAAAATTTGTATGCATACTATCCACTCGAAATGTAGATTGGAGCTGCGATCTTGCTCTGATTGATAAGATATAACGAGAACTATCGTGAATGCCAATGGGTAGCATTCATTTTTTTATTGGAATCTCATATTTTGGAAAAGAAAGTTTTATGGGTCTGTTGACTTCTCATTATTCGTAGCTATATTCAAGCTATCTACGCTATTAATTTCATCGAGATCTATAAATCCGTACTAGAACTGTGGGCACTTTACTATAACTATGCTAGATTCGAAAATTTCCCTTTTATAGTTTGCAGAGCGTGACTGAATATTTCTTCAATAAATTAAGCTCAGATTTTGAGAGAAGCTTCGCTTGTGACTGAATAATATTACGCACTGACCTCACGAAAGGAGAACTTTCTAGAGAGAAAGATAGTGCCACGTATTATCGAACTGGTAACGGGTGTCCCTGAAAGAATGGTCCTCTTATTATTTGACTGACATCTTCCTCAATTCTAATTCGTTTAGGCTTAATTTTTTTTATAAGATTCGTCTTGTGATCCTCTATAAGAATCTATAATTCGTGTTTCGTTCAAAAGTGTATCGTCTTTGTTAGAAGATGAAAAGTAAAGATCTACAAAAACTAGTTTTTGGTAAATACGAACAAGGTGATGGTGCCACGAAGATCTTTCGTGATTTGAATGGTTTAGTGGGATTACGTACTATAAAAAGGTGGTGCAAAATGATCCGTGATACCGGTTCTATCCAGCTATCAACATCATCAGGGGCTCCACGTCTTGCTCGAACGAGTAAAACTATTCAAAAAGTCAAGCACAAACTCGACCAACACAAGTTGGTATCTGCATGAAGTTTGAGCAAAGACTACAACATATCCAAATCAAGTGCCTATCGAATTCTGAAAGAAGATTTGGAACTCAACGGCTACAAGACAGTAATTGAATCAAAGCTCACCAATAAACAAGAAGACAAACGAAAGAAATTTGCAAACTGGGTGCATAATGATTTTCAAAAAGAAGACACAATGCGAACTTTATTTTTAGATGAAAAAATGTTCAATGTCAACGGCATATATAATTCCCAAAACCAGTGTATTTGGGCGCTAATCGTGCTGAAGCAAAAGGAAAATGGTGGCATCAAAATGAAACAAAAATTTCCTAAAAAAGTCATAGTCTGGCTGGGTGTTTGCTCTGAAGGAGTGACACCCTCGGTTATTTTCGACCAAGGAACAGTAGATCACGAAGTATATATCCAGGCTGTTCTACCAGTAGCACTAAAATATGGAAATAAGACCTTCGGAGAACACTGGACATTTCAACAGGATGGTGCGAAACCTCATGTCCATCATCTAACACAAAAATGGTGTCAGGACAATTTTCCATCATTCATAGATACAAATCATTGGCCACCGAATAGTCCAGATTTAAATCCATTGGACTATTCTATATGGGACGAATTTGCACGATCTATCAACTGGAAGATAGTAACATCAAAAAACACACTTATCGAAGAACTGAAACGTGCAGTCAAAAAAATTCGACAAGATGTTGTTTTACAAAGTTGTTCATCTTGGATCGTTCGTTTGCAGCGTGTCTTAAGAAATGATGGGTGTTATTTAAATCAATAAAAAATACACTATTTTGTAGAGCATGTCAAGATGACTGTATTGAAAAAAAAAATAAAGTCCAAACAAATAAGAATTGACAGAGATATCAGTAAAATACTGAGAGGGCTGTTCTTTCTGGGACACCCGTTACTAAAGACTTAGAGATCTCTAAAAGTGCTAAAATTGTACCGAATAGGACGATGTTTTGAGTGAAGAAATATCTTATAAAGTGCTTCATTCAGTTAGGGCTAACCAAAAGTTCTAAGCCCTGTGTTTGAAGGACCTTGTCGGATAAGGTAACCTATTCAGGAATGAGAAACCAAGTAGAACATATGGTAGAGCATGTTTAGGCGCATCNTAAAGTAAAATAAATCAACTTCGACATGGTTTGTCTGTTTTTCTAAAAGCCGGCTCGACTGCAGTTCGGTTCTGTTTGAACTACGATCCTTTCTTTACAGTGCAAAGCAATGGGGAAAAGAAAGAGAAATAAATTAAAAATTTACACTGCTTCCAATTTATCGACCATCATGGGCACGATATGTGTAATTCTTACGAACAAGGAACAAAACCTTCAATGCAGATTGAATTAATTATGTAAAAGAAATGGTCAAAAGTAGTTTAAAGATGCTCAAGAGCATATAGTTTTAAAAAATAGACCATAGCTCAACTAATTTGAGTTTTTCTACGTTTCCTTCAAACTTACTGATTTTTGTCAAAATTAGTTCGATTCGGTTCGGCTGACTTTTCAAAAAGTCAGTTCGTATTCGCTGTCTGTTCTATAAAACATAAATTACAGTCCTGGACAAAAGGCCCGCTACCAGGGAAAAACCATTGAAACAAGGGCTGCCTGTCTTGACACTTTTGTCATAAGAAGAATTTAATGAGTTATGCTCGCAGACACAAGCTTGAGTTCTAAACCTTTACTCAGACTTAAATCTGAGGCTAACCTCGATGATATTTTCCTATTGTATTATCTCGAGCTAAAACGAAGATATAAAGTTGTTCGGCCCATCGTTGGAAAGTTCAATGCTCCTTCTCTCTACAGTAACAATTCCATGGTAAACAAACATGCTTTTGTTAAGTTATGAATTAATCTCTGTCTACCCATGGAACTAACGTATCACAATCTTACCTGTCTTTGACTCGAATCTCGGGCTAGGCTCAATGCTTTGACTTGAAAATTTTATCACAAACTACCAACCTATGACCTAGTATGTACTGAAATTTTCAGAACTACAGCTACTACAATAATGAAGATTTATATCATTCTATGCCTCAAGATCGAGAGCCCTGGGACATCACTTTAGTACAGCACAACAAACTGTTCTTTGTAGAATGAGTAGGTCATCATCAGAACTACCTGTTGCACTAAAAATATCATCCTGATTTCATCAAGTCGAAGAAAATTAGTGTTATCTTTACTTATCACTGTTTTGCTTAAAATCACATAGAACTGACCAGCTTAAATTTTCGAAAATTCTTATTTTTCATTGTTTTTCCAGTTAATTGGCTTTAATTCTAAACCAAAAACAGTGAAATGTAAAAGTTTCGCTGGTTTTCTTCGATTTGATGAAATCAGGGTGATATTTTTTGTGCAATGGGTAGTTCTGGCGATGAACGACTCATGCTACAAAGGATAGTTTGTTCTGCTGCACTATAGTGATTTTCCACGGCTCTCGATCGTCAGATATAGAATGATGAGAATCTCCACTTTTGTAGTTGCTGTAGTTCTGAAAATTTCAGTGCAGACTAGGCCATAGGTAGACAGTTTCTGGCACAATTTTCAAGTCAAAAGATTAGGCCTAGCCTGAGATTCGACTCAAATAACTAGTGAGGTTGTGATACGTTAGTTGCATGTGTAGACAGAGATTAATTTATAACTTAACAAAAGCATGTCTATTTATCATGGAATTTTTACCATAGAGAGAGGAAGCGTCGGGCTTTCCAACGATGAGTTGAACAACGTTATATCTTCTTCCTGACTCGAGATAATACAATAGGAAAATATCGTCGATGTTAGCCTCAAATTTCAGTCTGAGTAAAGGTTTAGAACCCAAGCTTGTGTCTGCGATCATGACTCATTAAGTTCTTCTTATGGCAGAAGTTTCAATATAGGCAGTCCTTTTTTCAATGGTTTTTCCCTGGTAGCGGAACTTTTGTCCATGACTGTATATATAAAGTATTGAAAGATTTCGAACAACTCGATTTTCCTTGGCGAATAATATTTTTCAAATATTATTTTTATAAATAAATTTGAAATGATTTTTATTCTTTAGATTTCAATGTGTTCTGTTTTGGTCTTATTATGTTAAAATAAAATTTGAAAAATGAAACAAACTTGTTAGAAGATAAATAAATGGTAATGTTGAAGCAGATATAATAAATGTAATTGAATAAAAATAAAATTTTATTTCTCTATTTTGGTTATAAAGAATTTGTTGAAATTTATTTTTATTCAATTGATTTAATTGATCATTTAATGAATAAATAAATAAAAGATAATATGAATAAAACATTGATAAAATCATATCAAAAAAAAGTCGAGATGTCCAATAAATAATTGGATGTAAACCAAATGTTTTCATTAATTTATTTAATTTATCATCTTCATTTAAAATTAATATTGTTATATAAAAATAAATTAAATAATATGTTAATAAATATATTTCTGTTAATTGACCTGGTAATATTCCATAATAACAACTAAATAATGATAAATTTTCTATAAATAATAAAAATGATTTTTTATTTGATTCATTTTGATTATTTTCAAGAAATTTTAAATTTGTTTTTATATTATATTTTCCTTTAGATAAATAATTTGAAATTAAATTTAATGGTTCATAACCAATAATTAAATGTGATGTTAATATTGACAATTTTTCATTATTTTCAAATAATAAACCAATAAATTCATTTGAATATGTATATGGATCCATTTGACGACGCACTATACTTTATTTCAATTTTATTTAATAGATATTTCGCTTTTTATTTATTTATTTTTATATTACTAGCGAGAGCTCGTGCATACTACACGACTGTTTGTTTTTCCTCTAACGTATGACGACGGACGTTTAACTTTTCAGTCGATAACGGACATAGACACACTCGATATTATGTATACGGATTGGTAGCCCTACGGCCTCATATTCTTACATCGCACATTATTTGATAGTCCATTAGCCTTCTGCCTTATTGCCTTATATCCCTGGTAGCTCTTGTAGCATTATCCCCTTTTTGCCTTACCCTATTCTTGCCATACTCTCTCCAGGACCTAGGGGTACCCACATATGATAGCCCTTGAGGACCTATGGGTATCTCTATATAATGCTCTTGAAGGACCTATGGATACCTCCACATGGTAGCTCTTGAAGGCCTATGAGTCCCCATATAATAGCCCTTGGCTCCTCTCCTTATAGCCTTATTTGACCTCTGACCGTTGACCCTGCAGAAGAGAAACAGAGACACACACACACACACTGAACAATATATATATATATAGATTTTATCAATTAAATAGAATATTTTTAAAAAATTTAATCAATTTTTCCAACAATTTTACTTTTTTTTATTTGATTAAATGTCCATAGGTTTTTTTCAAATTGAAACATATTATAGTTAAGAAAAGAAAATTAGTTCGAAATATATTCTGTTTTGAAAAATAACTTGAAACAATTTACATTGAAGATTTTTCTTCTACCCACAGACAAAAGTTTTTCATGGGAGATCAATCTATTTTCCTACTGCGAACACTAATATCAAACTTCAAACTTCAAATCAATTAAAATTTCAAGATTATTCCGCCTAAATTTCACCTCATTTAATGATGGATGTCTGTCATTTTGTGTTAGGCATGCTTCATGAAACTCTTTTCTCCGCACCCACACCTGCGGCGATTGTGTCTGTGTGTGTAAGATTTTGTGAGTCGTGATTCTTCAAAGTGATTTCGGTTCAGAGATGCCAAGAGGCCAATTCTTTTTTAGCCTTATCTGCCTGGCAGATCAAACCAGGCGAACTAATGTTTGAGACTTTTTTTATCATTATGAAATTTACAAATTCGTATTAATCCATTTTATACGTTTGAATTTGTCATTCGACTTGTTTTCATCAGGTGCAGATATTTGGATTTTCTTTTTTTGAGATAAACCTATAACTACGTAGATATGGAAAGTATCGATTATCTTCAATACTTGCTGACATGTAAAATATATACGATCTTAAAACTTTCTACTAATCTTATGGTTTGATAACTTTTCTTCATACGATAATTTTACAAGCAGAGACAACTTCATTCTCGATCGTTTTCATTAAATGAAACTGTTTAAGTGACTAAGACGATCTTTCTTAGTATGAGATTGAATAAGTAGAAGAATTTTAAATAGTTTTGACACAAAAAATGCTAGAAATAATTGTAGATGTGTATCATCAAAGGAGAAGATTCAAAAAGACATTGAACAATTCTAAATGTCCAACAACCGAAAAGTTAATAATAGTAAACACGGCCAAAAAAATCTTATAAAATGTATAAAAGCATTGATCTGACTTGATGATCAACAGAAAATTATCAGAGGTAATCATCATCGACTGGTGAAGGCGTCTTATTCTTCGAGAATTGAATGGTCTTGTCTGCAGACCAGGCCAAGTTAGCAGCTCTGTTGCGGTTTGAAAATTGAAATTTCAAATTGAATTGAAATTTGAAGTATGGTATATAGGAGCGTCAGTTGTATCGATTTCAAAAACGAATGAAAACCGCACTTTTTTCTAAGAATAGTTGAGTCGGAACAGCTTGTTCAGTATGAATGCACTCACTTGAACTTATCCCAAAATTCGGGTAAATTACCCTTCGAAGGACGCTCTGGTGAACTTTTTACAATCAGATATAGATTAAATAAATGTGGAAATCTCGGATTTAAATCCGAGTGTTATGTGTACTTCAAAAAGTAAAAAATAATTGACGGCAGATTGATTTTGATCAAACTGTCGAAAAACAAGCCATTTTTCTTAAAACTTGATTTCTATTGGTTACTGGTCAACCAATAGGATTTCTAGGCAATTGGAGCTCAGATTCAAGTTCTCCGCCCTAGAAAACCTTTGTTCAAGTTTGATAAAACCTCGAAGTATCGCTTCTTTGATTGGAAGATGAACTTTTAATTTTCAATCAATCAGAGCGTCGACAAGCACGGAAACAATTTCCGTTAAAGTATCTTTGCAATAGGTGACTTAGCCTTCTTGTTTCTTAATGTCTTATATACCATTTTGTAGCCCGCAAAATTCTCTATCGAATGGTATATAATAGTTGAGGCTTTGTTTGATAATGAAAGAAAAAGATTTTTTACGAAAACCCGAATAGGTCAATGTTCGCATAGAAAAGCATAGGAAATAATGACATTTTTTGCGATAGCTCAGCAATTTCTTGACGAAACTTTCTCATCTTTGAACTCGACCGAGATATTGACCAGGCCATCCTGTGTGCAAGATTTCATCGCAATCGGACTATCCTTTGAATACTTATCGAATAAACGGCCGGACACACAGACTGACCGATCCTATAGTGTACTCACTTTTTGAGTACACAAAAATATTCTTTAAAATTTCTAAAAACTATTGAGGTACGACATTGTTCTTATTCGTCGAGATTCTCTCATATTTAAACATATACTATAGATATCGCGCTTATGTGACTAAACAGTGAAAGTCAAATGATTGATAGACATGATCTATATGTTCAGCGAAGAAATCAAGTAAAGATATAAGTGAGTAGCTTCTTTTCACTGACATGCATCCTAATCTTCACGTTTACAGCAAAACCTACACTGTAGACACGTGAGTATAGTGAAAAGTGGAACGGAATTGCCATTGAATATCTCATGTAAGATAGACTTAAAACTTTTTCGAATTTCCTCGATTTATTGCAAATCGATACAGCGAAGAATATTTACAAGAATTGAGTCTCTGGCTCGCAAAACATATTCAAAATGAAAAATAATTTCATAATTTTACGCCCGATCTAAAAATCTTGTTTGTCTACGTCAATCGTAAAAATACGAAATTTTTCACCTTTCATTTAACTCTTCAATGTAACACGAACAAATAATTTGATTTTCTTCCACTAACAAAAGTAAATCAATAAAAACAAACAAAGAAAATGTCGTATTGGAAACTTCTCAAAAATCTTCTATAATATAGATGATAATCGATATATTGCTTTTCGACATGTTTGTATTTGGATAAAGTGTGCACTTTTTAGATTTGTTTTTCATCATAGAAATTATCGAGAAATCTCTTTTCGATATTTTAATTGTCGATATGTTGCAACTTTGCCGACATTCATCATATCAAGTAGAATGATTTTGGAAATTAGTCGACAATCGATATTCAATATGAGAGTTTTTCGGAAAACTTTTTATCTGCAGGTAGATAGACACATACATAGAAATAAGATCTTATATTATGATTAATTAAAATTGTTGTTAAATAATAAAAGAAATAAAAAGTAAAAACTAATCTTACTCCAATAAAAATAATCAAGTTGTTGTATATTAGTTATATTATTTAATTTAAATATATTTGTTAATGGTGAATATTTAATTATTTTTGATGATATATTATTAAATAAATTTTGATTAAATTGATCATATTGATAAAAAGCAATAAATAGATTATGTTGCTTTAAATGAGACCAATCATCAATATCAATAAATATTGATTTTTTAATTGTTTTATTATAAATAATATATTGAAATAAATATGGTATTAATAATATAAATATAAATAATAATGGTTTTCTATAAACAATTCGAAATGATTTTATAAATAAAGCTTCATATTGACTTAAATAATAATCATAACCTTGTTCAATTAATGTTTCATTAAAAATAAATGAACAATTATCTTCAATAATTTGTCGATTATCTTCAATTAATTCATTTGCTTCATATTGATCATTTGTTATACGAAGAAATACTTCATCTATTTAATTAAAAATAAGAATTTAAAAACAAAAAAGAACAAAAAACCTAATGTTGTATTTGATAATCCATAATTTAAAATAGAATTATTTTTCTTAAGATTTTCAAGTTGATATAAAATTTGAATAAATAATTGTGATGATTGTTCATTTGTTTGAATAATTAATTGATTATTTGATTGAATATCAATTGTTGATTTAGTTAAATATTTTTTAATTAAATCAAATAAATAAATATGATATTGATCATTATTTGTATTTAATATTAATTTATATCCACTACCATAAGATTTTTTTAATTCACTTGATTTATCATTAGCACAAATATTTCCATTTGATAATATTATTATACGATCAGATAATGCATCAGCTTCTTCCATTATATGTGTTGAGAATAATATTGTACGATTTTCTTTCATTGATATTAGCCAATTCCTTAACACATTTTCTTTTTTATTTTATTTATTTAAATAAACGAAAATGATTTTTAAATACCATAAAAGACGACGATTTATTGGATCAAGACCACTTGATGGTTCATCTATTATATTATAAGAATATGAACAGAATTAAAAAAAACAAAAAAGAAAAATATTTTTTTTATTTTTGTTAACCAAGTAAAACAAAAGTAGTTTCTCCAATAAATGCCAATGCTATTGATAAACGTCTTTTCATTCCGGCAGATAAATATTTACATAATATATTTCGATCATTTGTTAAATTAACTGCATGAAGAAGATTTGAACAAATATCTTCTTTATCATTTGAATAACCTTTAACATTTTTATCTTATATCGATTTTATTTAATAAAACAAATCTAACCTCGTGCTATTGCATGAAATTCAATTTGTTCTTCAACCGTTAATAAATCAAATAAAATATCATCTTTTGTTTTTTTTAAAAAACAAAAACAAACAAAAAAGAATTTTTTTTGTTTTTTATTTAAAATAATAATAAAATGAAAAAAGACATACATTGTGGACAATATGATATTATTTTACGTAAATAATCCATATGATATCTGGTATCATATTTGCATATTTTAATTGATCCATCAGTTTGTTCAATTATTCCACAAAGCATATTCATTATTGTTGTTTTACCTAAAACAAAATGATAATTGAACGTTCGAATCTAAGATTTAAAACAACGATTTAGCTATAAGAAAAACTTAAGATGATTTTTTCATCATTATATTTTATATATTATTTAACTAAATTATTCAATTTAATTTATCTTTTCATAGATATTGCCCTTAGACTTTAATTTAGTTATCTTTAAAATTCTTATTTTTGTCTTTAATAAAATCTTCGAGAGAGGGAAAAACACATATAATTTAACCGACAAATTAACATTTGAATAAAGAATATTATTTCAATAATTATACATTAATTTATCTCAAAAAAAGCTGTTAGCGCAATCCCTTGCGGGATTAAAAATGTGAAACACGATGGCCCTATTATTACTAATTAAATGGAAATCCTTTTCTTCCATTACGTTGCGATACATCTGTAGCTAACCGTTAATCTGATGCTTTACAACTACAGTTTCTCTNAACAACACCATGTTTTATCCTTACAATAGTAGAGAAAAGCTACCAGCTTCTCGTGTGAGCTGGTAGCTTTTCTCTACTATTGTAAGGATAAAACATGGTGTTGTTCGGGCCAATACAGGATTATCTGGGATCCTCTCTCACATGACCCGGATAATAGTATGTTTTATCCTTACAATAGGACTGTATCAAAATGGGGTATCAGTCAAGTTGATCACCCCCATATATAATAAAACAAGGCCTAATTTAAAAAATCAGGTCCTGGATCTTTACATGGTCTTTCAAACAAAAAAACAATTTAAATATATTGGACGAACCTGGAAAGAGAAATTTTTAGAGAATCTCGGAAAATTTGATACATTTTTTTAGGAAAATAAGGTATCAAGAGAAATTTTCTATCTTTTTATGAAAGAGGCTATCTTCCCATGCATTTATCTCAATATTTTCTGTAATGATTGAAAATATGATACTTTTTCTAATATTAAAAGTAAATTTATATGATGAATTTATTTTTTAAAACTTTATATTATATTGAAATATAACTGTTAAAATGAAATTCAAGATATTGTTTACTATTCATATATAGATTATCAATGAAAATAATTATTCTAGTCATATATGAAATTGAACTCCGCTATGCCGGTGCCAAGCCCGGGACTCATTCTTCTGAATGAGGAGGCGGAGGCAAAGTCTGCCAACACGCATTGGAGCAGCGTGGCAGACTACGGTCAAAACCTTCAATGAATTCCAATTACAAGAAACGGCCCTCATTACCCGGAGGCCTGATAGCTACTACCTACGGCAGCGGGAAGACCAGCTTGACGGCAGAGGGTGCTAAGAATCATCGGGCTCAAACAGGGTGCCTTCAAAATTTGAACATTGGAACGCTCAATGTTAGAACCCTCCGAGATGACGGAAGGTTAGAAGAACTACTATTAGAACTGAAGAACATCAAATGGGATATAATTGGACTATGCGAAATTCGACGAAAAGATGAAAGACTACTTGACATCAAACATGGCCACCAACTATATTATCGTGGAACATCAGACGGCAGAAATAGCGGTGTTGGCTTCATCATCAACAAAAAAATAAAAAATAACATTACCAGCTTTAATAGTCTCTCCGATAGAGTGGCTAGCCTGACAATCAAATTATCAAAACGCTACACTCTACAAATCATACAAGTATATGCTCCAACAAGCAGCTACAGCGACCAAGAAGTAGAAGATTTCTATGAACTGGTAACACAACAGCTCAACGAACACAAGCATCACTTTAAAATTGTTATGGGTGATTTCAACGCAAAGGTTGAAGAACAGCAACAATGTGAAACAATGATTGGACCACATGGGTTTGGTACAAGAAATGAACGTGGAGCAAGACTAGTGGAATTTGCGGAAAAAGAACATCTTTCGGTGATCAATACATACTTCAAGAAAACACCTTGCAGAAAGTGGACGTGGAAAAGCCCAAAGGGTACGACCAGCGAAATCGACTACATCCTATCAAACAATAGGACGATTTTCACCGACTGCTCAGTCATCAATCGTTTCAATATCGGCAGCGACCATCGACTCATACGGACCACCTTGAGAATCAATATACAAAAAGAACGAAATAAGTTAATGTTCAATACAATAACATCCATCGATTACAAAAATCTTGAAGCACAGAAAAATGAATTCCAACTAAAGTTATCTAATCGTTTCAGCCTACTCGAACAACTGAATAATATCCACCTATCGGACATTAACAAACATATCACCGATATTCTATTAACAACTGCCAAAGAAACTGGAGGTACGAAGAAACACAATCGACACAACAAGATAACAGGAGAGACGAAACAACTGATGTGTAAACGACGAGAATGGAAACACAACAAATCAACAAGAAACAACATCGAATATGTCGAACTATGCAAGACTATTAGGAAACGAGTGAAAGAAGAGATCCGACAATTCAATTGCCACCTGATACAAACAACAATTGAGAATAACAAAAGTCTCAAAAAAATGAAACAGAAGCTATGACAGGTAAGAAAAGCCTATTCAAGATCCAAAAAGAAGATGACTCAACAACGTCGAACCAACAAGAAATTCTAAAACGAGTCAAGGAGTTTTATTCAACATTATATGATGACAACATCGAACAAGTAGCAGCTGACAACAGCAAAAAAACCGATCCCCCCGACGTACTTCCAGCTGAAGTGCGAAAAGCAATTCAAAGCCTGAAGAATGGCAAAGCGACTGATCAAGATGAAATAACAGGAGAAATCCTCAAACTGTGCGGCAATGAGACCCACAAAGCTCTGGCTGATTTATTTACTCAATGTCTGAAACAAAGAAACATACCAACATCATGGAAAGATGACAAGATCATCATACTCCACAAAAAAGGAGATCAACAAGATTTGCAAAACTACCGGCCAATAAGCTTACTTTCGATCATTTACAAGCTATTTACACGGATCATTGTCAAAAGACTCGAAACAATACTCGACTTTGCCCAACCGAAAGAACAAGCAGGCTTTAGAAGCGGATATAGCACTATGGATAATATACAGGTTGTGCAACAAGTCATTGAACGATGTAATGAATACGAGATGCCGTTGTGTCTCGCCTTCATAGATCTCGAAAAAGCATTCGATAGTATCAAGCTGAGTGCGATATTCGAAGCACTACAACGACAAGGTATTGAAGAACCATATATTAACTCGCTGAAATCAATCTACATGGATGCAACAGCCACTATACATATAAACGACGACTCGACTACGATCAAGGTTAAAAAAGATGTGCGACAAGGTGATACGATCTCGCCCAAGTTGTTTTCGGCCGGCTTAGAGGAAATATTCAAACAGCTAGATTGGTCAGAAACAGGAATAAAAATCAATGGTCAATACCTTAGCCACTTACGGTTCGCCGACGGCATTGTTATATTCTCCGACAGTGCTGGAAACCTCCAAAGCCGAATAAAAGAACTAAACGAAAGCAGCAAATTATCAGGTCTGAAGATGAACATGAAGAAGACATAAGTTATGTTCAACATCCATTCGATACCACAACCCATACAAATAGATAATCATCAACTGGAACAGGTCGACAACTACATCTACCTCGGTCGAATGGTTACAATGAACGACGACATCATGATAGAAATTTTAAATCGTACCAAGCTTGGTTGGAGAGCGTTTGGTAAAATGAACACTATATTCAAAAGCAATATGCCTGTTTGTCTGAAAAGCAAAGTGTTCGATCAATGCATACTTCCAGTGCTAACATACGGTTGTGAAACATGGACACTAACCGCAAAAGCGATTCAAAAACTGAAGGTCACCCAAAGAAGCATGGAAAGACAAATGCTCAATATATCCCGTCGCGACAAGAAAAGAAACACATGGATTCGACAACAAACCAAAACATGCAACATAATAAGAAGAGTCGCCTCACGCAAATGGCAATGGGCTGGCCACGTCGCTAGAAGATCAGACCAACGTTGGACCTCAGAAATCCTGAACTGGACACCAAGAGATCATAAAAGACCCAGAAAACGTCCTAAGAAACGATGGGTAGACGACATAGTTAAATACAAGGGCAATAACTGGCAGCAACTAGCGGCTGATCGAAATAATTGGAAAGAAGCTGAAGAGGCCTTCATCCTGCAGTGGATCGATACAGGCTGATGATGATGATGATGATGATGATATGAAATTGATAAGTATTATCGTTGAATACAACAATATTCTTTTGATATTTAATTAGATAAATAATCCATAAGGAATTTTTATTTCGATGTTAATTTTTAAAAAAAGAAAGCTGTTAGTGCAATTCCTGTGGGATTAATATGTAAAACATGATGTAGCTGTTATTGTCAATCTTCTAAAAAAATGTTTTTTTTTATGCATAATTGCGCATGTTTTTTTCTTCATGATGTTTTTTTTACCTTAGAATAATGATCTATATATATATTAGTTATAGATTATCTTTAAGATTTCCTTGAAATCTTCTATTACAGTCCCTAAGAATTTAAACACTGCATTTAAATGTTGTAATCATAAGATTTCTATTTATAAACTAATTATTAAATAAATATTATTCTGTTTTTTGTTTGTAATTGTATAGAATATAAATTTCGATTTAAATAGATGAATATTAAAGCCTCTCTTCCTCCTTAAAAACTCATCTCGGCCTAGGTATGTTCAAATAAACTGAAATTTGAAGTATATATTAGGACTGACGTGATGAGGGTATGGTAAAATTTTTAGCTCAATAAGATGATGTTTGACAGAGATATGAACCAAACAATGGTAAAAAATAGCTCATTTTATGACGAAGATTTCTTAGTCCGGACTCTTTCAACTTATTTGAATTTTGTTATTGTTTGAAAGAGTATGTCAGAATGCAGGGTACTATCACAGAGTTCTTTTTCTTAGCGGAGAAAGGAGCTCACAAGTTCAATAACTCAAAAAAAAGACGCTGGGTGTCCATTTACATAAGTGTCTGTAAAAACAAAGCTTAATAAAAAAAAAGGACTCTGTAGTCCCCTGTATCTTAACATGTTCTTTCAAACAGAAACACAATTTAAATACATCACATGGATCTCGAAAAAGATGTTCGATCTTTTTTAAAAATGGCTTATTTTTGACGGAAATTTTCAAAAAGTTTTTTGTTGAGTAGAAGGAGAGGCTTTAACTATTCAAAATAGTAAATATTAATAAACAAAAAAGAAAAGTTTTATATGTTTAAATGTAAATTGTATAAATATTTACCGGATCATTATTTATATTTAACATATCAATAATAATAGATAAATTTTGTTTATTTTCAATAAATTTTAATTGAAAATTATGATCTTGAGAAAGTATAGTTAATAATCTAGCTCCTAATATAACAATACAATGATGTTGACATGATGGTGAACGTGTTGATGGTACACATTTAACTCGATTATTAAATTCATTTCTATGTACATCTAAATGTTGACGCATTATATCTAATAAATAACTTGGTTCAATTTTATATAAAACTGAAAATGGTTCATATGTATTTATTGAATTAGATATTTGATTAGACGATTTTTCATTTAATTCATATTTAAATAAATTTGATTTTGATATATTAGAATTTGTTAAATCAGATATTGACTCTTTTGCTGTTGCTGTTATTATTGATGATGATGATGAACGATCTAAATAATAATAAGAATTTCATCTCACACATTTCTTTTCAATAAGAATCGGCGATATATCGCAAGTAGCACTCGCAACTTCCAGTTCCAAATCTATATGTAATTTCAGAGAGCATTTTCTGATTAACTTCGAATTTATTATGCAAAACAACTCAAAATTATGAAGAACAACGATATTTTTACAATAATAATTTTTGTCTGATCGGGCTATAATAAAAAATTGATTTCAGCACTGAGACCAATTTTTACTCTGTGGCTAGTACAGGCGGCTCAATGTTATCAAAAGGGTACTAAATTTCACGAAATTCTGCAAGTTTTATCAGATTTAAAAAAATATTCAACCGGTTCGATGCACTATTTTCCAAAAACAAAACCGGCGGTAGAGCGCAACATTACATCGCCAATCTACGGGCGGTTTTTTTTCCGGTTTACAACACATCCCAGGTCGAACGATAAGACCCATTTATCGGGCGCAGTAATACGGACCGTACTATTATTAAAATAGAGTCGTATACAGCTCTATTTTAATGATAGTATGGTCCGTATTTCTGTGTCCGATAAATGGACCGTATGGTTCGACCTGGGATGGGATAATAATTAAAAATAATGTTTATAATTGATAAATTAAATCGATAATATTTTACAAAAAAAAAAGAAAAGAAAATGAATAATTACTTGTACAATATCTAACTGATGGTGATACTTGTTGTGTTGAATTTTTTAGATTAACTGATGATCGTTTGTGATCATTTTCACGTGATATTCGACGTAATATATTTGATAATGTTGAAGATCTTTTTGAAATATTGTTTTGGTGTTTAGTTGTTGAATGTTGAGTTTTATTTTTAATTAAATTATGATTTAATTGTTGTCGTGATGATGGTATATAACATGTATTATATATACCAGGATTTAATAAATTATGATAAACATATAAATCATATAAATAATTTATTGTTATTAATGATAAATATTGAATATAAGCCATATCAGATGATAAAAATTCTAATGATATATCAAGTAATTTTTTTGTATGAGATTGAAAAATTTCTATATATTCACGTTTATCATTATTACGTAGAAATTCTTTATAAGATGTCTAAATATATTAAATAAACATTTATATATTTAGATATTATATTAAAAATAAACATAAACAATCGATTGATTTGTCTGTTTTTCTTTAAATAATAATTGATATGATTGTTTTTTTTTGTATTTGAAATAATAACGTAAGAAAAGAAAATAATCTAAAGTTTGATTTAAATTTTATATTCAAACTTATTTATTTTATTATAAATATTGTTAAATTTTCAATTTTTTTTGACTAATTAGATTTCGAAAAGAAAGAGTTTTAAAATTATTTTCTTGTCTATTTTGTTTTTTGTCGATAAGATTTATTTTTATTGAGAATGAATATCGAAAATATAAAATATATTTTCTTAATATATTCTATCTGATTAATAATTAATTTATAATTTTTTTTTGTCTTTTTGCTGAAATGAAATTTTATTCAAATATTATTCGAAGTCGACAATGATATGAAAAATATTTCGATTTAAAAAACAAATTATTTTCACATAATTTTATTTTTAATTAATTAAATATAATAAAAATCGAGAACATAAATCAAAAATTTTATTAATATAAATTTAAAATTTTCTCATCGATCTTTATTGTTTTTATTCGAACAAAAAAAAAAGGACTAAGCAAATAAACCATTAATTTAGTAAATAGATAAAATAGAACTAAAACTGAATTTATAAATTATGTATAATAACTAGATGACAATCGAATAAATTTTTTTTTCTTCTTAAAATACAAAATCGAATAGATTTTTATGTCGAATAGGAAAAAGGCAATTATTTTCTAAATCAATACAATATGTCACATTTAATATAAATTTATTATTGAATATCGAATATAGATTTTTTATTAGAATTTCAAGATTATTTTTTGATTATAAATGACAAAAAAAACGAATAATACTTACATTCACTAATGTATGAAGAAGTTCTGCAACTCTCATATGTAGTTGTGGTGATGTTGCTTGACTTATTAAAGATAATATTTCGTCTATGGAATTTTGCATACGTAATAAATCCATTAGTTGATCGATACATTCGATATTAGTCGCCAATCGACTTAATTCGAAAAAACGTTTTAATAGACGATCACTTTGAGCATTAGCTNGGCACCGAAAAGAAAAACAAATTTTTTTCATAGTAATATAACTGAGATTTCAATTGCTGATACGATGAATTCAGATGAATGAAAAATTCAGTTTTGCTAAAGATAGAGCTCAGCGTAGAAGTGATCAAGTTTGAAGTGAATTTTTTCTAATAAATATGAGTTAAGTGAGTCTTGTTGGCAGGGTACGTGATGAATAACCTTGTCTTTCAGTTCCGTCGTTTGAATGAACAAAAACGACTTGTTATAAACTTTTTTTTTGATTCAACTCTTTTTTGTAACAAAATACGTAGTAAAAAGTTAAAAAGACAAGTATGAATTTAGATTGCAAGGAGGTCAAATCTATCAGAATATATTTAAGAATAAAAGAAAACGAACAAAAGGCAGTTTTGAACTCGTTTATATTGATGATAGACAAATCCATTAGATGTTAATATTACGTTTAAGTGCTGTCTGTTAATTGTTTAATTTTTTAATAATGAAGGGATTAAATGGTTTCAGAGAAGATGATACTATTTGATTTCAAATTTTTCGCTAAGGAAAAACTTATTTTACGAATAAAATGATTTTTCACAGTAGACCTGAAAACTGTAATTTTTGTGCCATAAGTCAAGTTTAATAAAAACAAAGAAACTATTATTTTCGTATAACTAGCCATCCCTAACCCGAAAGACTTGCACTTGAATAATGAACAGAAAAATGTAAATCTTATATTTTTATAGTTAAGCGGCTGATTAAACGCTACTATGAACGAATTATACGTGACATCTGTCGCTTTTTACTTACTCATGTTTCATGATGTCCCGTAGGCTTATTGCCCGTTGGGGCCAACCACCATTCGGATTAATTTCTTCCATATCCATCGGTCTTGCGCTCGGTGGAACAGGTCTTCTCCGCTGCATCCACACCATTCTATAATGTCGTCCAGCCATTCTCTACATGGACGTCCTCTTCGGAATTTTCTTTCCATTTTGGCGAACACTGCATTCTTGATCAGCTTATTATCGTCCATTCTACAGATATGACCGAATAGTCTTACATTCTCCTTTTCTTTATTACGTCTACAATGGTTTTCTCTTTTGATATCTTTTTTCTTATATCTTCATTTCTTACCATGTGCTTTCAGCTAATTCTTAGTACCCGTCGGTAGCACTTAATCTCAAAGGTGAGTAATTTCTTTTTCTCAGATTCTTTTAGAGTCCATGCTTCTGAGGCGTATAGCAGCACGCTGAAGACGCATGTCATCAGAACCTTCAGTTTATTTTGAACTGTCAGCTTCTTGCCATTCCATATGTGTTTTATGGAAAGCATTGCTCCTGTTGCTTCAACTATTCTTCTTCTGATTTCTTCTGAGCAATTGTTGTCCCATGTCAGTAGGCTTCCTAGGTATTCGAACTTTTCAACGTTTTCTATGCTTTTTCCTGCTACGCATATTGTTTGTTCTATGTTTCTATCTCCGAATACCATTGTTTCGGTTTTCGTTGCATTCAAAATGAGCTTTGCTTTTTCTGCAGCTATTCTGGTTAACTCGATATGGTTTTGTAAGGAGCTATAGTCTTCGTTTATAAGATCAATATCATCCGCAAATCTTAAGTTGTTGACGAGTGTTCCTCTGATATTGATTCCACAAATGTTTTCTTTTACCTGGTCCATCACTCTTTCAAGGTATGCTATGAAGAGTAGCGGTAACAGAGGATCTGCTTGTCTGATTCCTACGTCTGTTTGAAACCATTCGCCGCGGTCTTTGCCGATTCGGACTGATGATTGTGCCTTTTCGTATATCTTTTGTAATAAAGTAACCATTTTCGTTTCTATTCCGTACGATTTTAATACAGCCCGTATGAGTTTGTGTTTGATCATGTCAAATGCTTTTTGAAAGTCTATAAAACAGTTATACATTTTCTTTTCTTGCCTTTTTGTCTTTTCTGCTATTAGTCTGAGTGTCATGATTTCGTATGTGGTACTTCTATCTTTTCTAAATCCTGTCTATTCTTCTGAGAGATGGGGCTCGAGTTGATTTTTGAGTCTGTTTAGCAGCACGATTAGTAGCATTTTTCCAGTATGATTGATCAGAGAGATCGTTCTGTAGTTCGCATATTCACTATGATCTTTTTACTTACTATTTGATTGGATAAGTGGAGCTATTCTAAATTTACTTTAATTTGGTGGTGTTCAAAAAATGATCCAACTTAGTTCAAACAACTTGCATTGGAATCATCTTTTATTTAAGAATTTCAGCATAGAAAGAAAAGGTACAAGATAAAACTCTTCTAAATATCCGAAACGACCTTGTAGCCAGCACGCTTCTTAAAATTATCTAGAACTTGTGATGGTTTATTTATAAGGGAATTAAACTTTTAAAAGTTCAGCGTATTTTCTAAAGCTTTGAATGGTTCCTTATGACACCTTCTTTTTTAAGAGAATAGATGTTCAATATATCTGTTATAAATGCCAGCCTATTCTGCTGAAGAAACATATTAGAAAAGAATACTACTTGAAGAAGATCAACACTTATTAGACACCCTATATATATATACATATATATCAGAGTTGTAAACAGTTTAGCGATTGAAAAATATTTTGTGGTTATGGTCTTTTCTTGAAGCAATATGTTTAGAGCAACTTTGCGTGCTTTTATCAAAATAATTAGCCAGTGTTGTTTCAAAAATACTATGTTTTATTTTCTTCTGTTCGTCCACACTGTGTCAGCTCTTTAGTCAAACTATGCTTCATTGTTAAAAATAAGAATCCAAACTGTATTACGTAAGCTAAACTTATCTTTTATATGTTTTATTGAAGACCCGATCAATGTTTGGGCCGTCGTTTGAAGAGAAACATGATGTTTCTAGATGAAAATTGGACGAAAAGGTTCAAAATTTCGATTACAGCAGCAAAAAAAATTTCCCATCAGTTCCAAACGTGGGTTGACCCCTATTTTTCTTATCGATAGCTTTATAAGCAAATTAGGAATATGGCTCATTGCAGGGTAGACAGGGGTAAAAATCTGTAGGTATTAAGGAAGAAATCTAGCCTATAATATCAGTTTTATCACTCAAAAAACTTTGTGAACTCGCTGACTTTCACCGGTCTGGAAATATTTTTAGACCGGTACGACCAGATCGGTGTCGTATTTCTTGACTACTTACAACTCTGATATATATTTATATCATCACAGAACTGATTAAATTAGTTAGATTAAGAAATACGTTTACAAAATATATTTGTGCTTTTACAAGAACTACTGATACTCATAAGCAACATAGCAATCTCTTGTCCGTCATACAGTCGACACATCCATGGACTCAGTCAAAGAACAATATGTAGAACGAGTTTTTGAAAAGTAGTACGAATGAATAGGATGAAAAAATTATTGACCATGACGAAAAATATAATACTAATCAATAGGAGGAAGAATTTTTTGTATTGAAGAGCAAATTGCATAAAAAACCATGGAGATGGTGAATTCTTTATCTTCGTGTTTCTTTTCTAGTCATTTGTAGATTTTTTCGTGATTCTTTTTGACTTTCATCAGTAATGATTTTTTCTGTCATTGGTTGCTGATTATGGTTCTATATATTGACATGTGTATTTTATTACCGTTTTTTCTTTGTTAGTGATAGTTGTTGTTCGATTACTCTTTAATTCCCTGAGATGGTCTTGCCTCCAGTTATCTTGGAAGGGGTTTCGTTGCTTGTCTGCTGGACGGTTTTTAGTATCAATAGATGTCCTAAATTATCCGTGAGTCTATTTGTACATGTCACAGGTATATGTCATCTAAAGGTGTAACTTCGAATATCTCTTCCCATATCTGGTGAAAATGTGCCCCAGAATGTGCTAAAGATTAAGTGTGTATAAAGTGAAGGATAATATCCTTACCAATTTCAATTTTCTTTTTTTGTATTTTTCTTTACACGTCGATGCATGCTTGACAAAGATACTATTCGAAAGACCTCGCGTTACTCATACTTCTCTATTTAAATTTTTTTCTAATTGATATCTCTCTTCTTCTTTTATCGTTCTTTTCTTTAAAAAAATAAAAAAGATCATATTACTCTTTATATTATTAACCGTCATTTTGCTTCTTCTTATAGAAGAAAAAAAACAAAAAAATATATACATATATATAATGATCAAGTTATTGTGAAATAAGAACTTCATGTTGATTTGTTTAATTTAAAGAATTTTTAATGAATTATAATCATACACATTGACGAGAAGGCTTTTATCGATATTCGAATGCGAAACTCTATTTTTTTACGATTTCTTTTTGGATTGCTCGTGTTGAGGAATGATGAAGTTATCACCAAGGTAACCTCCGATAATTAGAGTAAAGTTGGAATTGATATATAAATTGTTTCAAATTCAGATGGTGCCACCACATCAAAAACGGATTAAAAATCAAAAAGTTTATTTAAAATAATTAGATTACTTTAAGCAATTTTAATCAATCATATATAGATTTTTACTTTTTTCCATATAATACTGCTGCATATATTAAGATCCTTTGTAATTGCTATCCTAACACGTTATACGCACCTCTTGTGAACCAACTTCCGAAAATAGTCAGTTGTATTTGATTACTACTTTTAGAAATTGATTAAACATAATTCAAGTTTTAGACGAACGGGCGACTTATGTAAATCAAATTATGTCTCCTCATTTGCGAACATGAACACGAAATTCAAAAATTTTTAAATTCGATTTCGTTTGTTTTTTCAAATTAAAGTATTCAAATGAAACACAATGTTAAGTCTCAAACTTATCGCTATATAAATTCTTAAAAAACTTATATCAATTGAGAAAAATCTTATTTTTTGATGCAACAGAATGTACTGAATCATAACTGAAATGTATAATCTTGATTTTGACGAATAAGGTAAGAGTATTTCTAGGATGTTCTCT